ATATATATATATGCAAGCATATAAGTGATTATTTAAAAATTATTTAAATATTATTATTTAAAAAAAGAAATCATGCACAATAAATTTAAAATTACACATAAAAACATATGTTACGTTTGTCAAATTATCTCCAGCTCTCAAATGACAGAAAGATATCAACAAAATAATAAAATAGCCTACTTCTCATGATTCAGTTCTCATAAATTAACCCCTATTCTTATTTGAATATTTTATTTCCATAAAAATAAGTCTCTTTAGAGAGGTTAAACGCATTGTAAATGTGGTTTCATGTTAACCACACTGATATTTTTAAAATACTGGACCGTTATTAGCATTTAGACAATATATGAGGAAAATATAAGGGCGTGTTTATATGAGAGCGTGTGTTGAACAGGGATGAGGCTTAGAGAGCATGTGCAAAACACTGTTTACAGTGTTTGACCTGATTGTATCAGGATCATGCCTGATATCACAGAGATGCACACACACACACACACACACACACACACACACACAAACACACAAAAACCAAGTGAGACTTAGACAAACTCATTTGTCCAAATATAATTCAAACTGGTTGTGAATGTCACATTTCCTCCTATTTTCAGTGTGGACACACAAATTACTTGTCGCTAGAGGTGTGTCGCATCACGTCTGGTTAGGACGGTATATGAAAAACATTTCATATTAGAGATCAGTAAAATGTTAGACCTCCATCCAGTGTTGTAGCTCCCTCCCTGATGATTGGCAGTCCTTCTCCCTGAGAAGTGTAGCCTCGCAGGTAGAAGCGGTAATGGCTGTGAGGATCCAGCTTTAAGCTGAAGTGAGACACGGCTTGGTCACTGATCTTTTCCACTTGCATGGGACCGTCTTCCTTAACAACTGCAGAGAAATGAGGGGAAAAAGACATGTCAAAAATATTATTTTAACTAAAGTTTAGTGGTTTTAAAAAGTTGTTTTAAAATATTAACCACCAAGCACTTGCTACGCAGTTGCTGTAGTGTTTTGAATGGTTTTCAGATGCTGAAAGTGATAGTTCACCCAAAAATTACAATTCTGTCTGTAATTACTTACTCTCATGTCGTTCCAAACCTGTATGTCCTTCGTTCATCCTTCACAAGGAAAAAAACGACTTTATTCAATCATTTCTTCTCTTCCATGTCAGTTTTCGCCGCGTGTTCATGAGAGTACCACGACTGACACGGAAGAGAAGAAATTGTTTTTTTTTTTCTTTGCTTACAAAAAGTATTCTCGTAGCTTCATAAAATGATGGTTGAACCACTGATGTCACATGGACTATTTTAACGATGTCCTTACTACCTTTCTGGGCCTTGAACGTGGTGGTTATGTTGCACACACATTTGCACTAATTCAGATTCATATTAGCTGCTCTGTTGTTAAAGCGCACAAGAGACAATCACTATGAAAGGGCTGATGGAGAGTAATTACGGTGCGGGGGGAGGGTGTACACAAATCTATTCAATATATCATTACCACAACAATAACACAGACTTCAAAAGTTCCTCTGATATGAGAAACCAACATCATCCTCACGATACCAGCTGTTAGCTCAGAAATCAGTTTCATGTTTTCTGAAGAAAATATGAGCAGAGATTACCAAGATAAAACTTGTGCCACAATGTGTGACTGCTAGGATGGATCACAGGGCGTTGCTAAGAGGTTGCTAAGGAGTTCAGAGTGATTTAGTGTTCTTAGGGCACTCTGGGCGGCTGCTTACAGGCTCAAGTTACACACTAAAGTTGAACACTTCGGATTTAAACAGAGCTCTAACCCAATGGTAAACAGGGGGGGCAATAGCAAATTTTAAAAAATGCAGGTTTGTGATTGTGAATCAATATGGCTATATAATAATAATAATAATAATTACTAAATAAAGTATGTAAACAAAATAAGAATACTATTATAATATTTATCTGTAAAATAAAAAATTAGTATTTCATAATAATAATAATTTTATTTTAGACTTTAAAATTACAATACTAATAGTTAAGTCTGTCTTATTTATTTTTTTTAATTAAACCAAACCATCCAACATTTATTTTGATGAATAACTGCAGCAAGTCCTTAAAGTTTCTCTTCAGTGCCGCGCTTCACTCTGAACTAAACTAAATTTGAATCTGATTTGATAATCACACCAAAACATATTGTGATTTCGGTTTCATTTTGATTGATCGTGCACTTACTGAATACTATTCACTTCATTTTGGTAACCACATATTTTGCACATTTTTGATCGCAGAATAAATTGATAATGCATGAAAAATGTGTCTGGATTTTTTTTTCTCTTTATAATGGCATTGTAACTAAAACTTTTGCATGGTTCTGTATCCTCTCCACCCAGGTCTATTGTAATTGCCGACGAAAATAACAGGTTACTTTCAAGACCCTCTTAAAATGAAAAAAGAAAACGTTTATGGGGTCGGGTTTGAAGGATTACCATAATTATGATGTCATGTTTAAAGCAGACTGACACAAACAAAAGATCCCAATCTATTTGATTAATGACGAAATCCATCTGTCTGACCTGTAATGACCCGCAGGTACCGGCGACTAGTGCTGGACGAAGTGCATTAGTGATCTTTGACCCCCAAACGACAAGTTAAACAGGCACTTGTTCAGTTATTAAAGCAGATTTCGCTGGATTACACAAGCCCATGCGTTATGAACTTTGCTCAGGATCCTCCCAGAGTCTCGGTTTTTGACCCCTGAATGGGTCACACACAGAGACAAACCTTATGAGGAAAGTGTTTGAATGAAATCTCCCAGAACAAAACAAACTCTCAGTGGCTAAAGAAAGATGGGACAGGAAAGGAAGGAGGGCTGGAAGGACACGCCAGGTTGGGTGTTATTCCATAAACACCACATTCTCCCAAAATGACCCTGAAGATCAGGAGATTCAGACAGCATGAAGAGACAGAACATCCTGACAGCACGGCAGAGGCTTTTCTGCTATTACAAACACCCATTATTTGATCAACTACTCACAGTTTACATGTTCACAGTTTTATATTTATCATGAACAAACAAACAAACAAAAAATAAATAAATAAACAAATAAATAAATAAATAGAATATCGCAGCTCTTATGAAACATTGCTTTCAACCGTGTCCATACTGGTCATTGGTTTATATTAATATATGTAAAATCATACATGCCAACTCCATATCTTCTTAAAGAGAACATTATGGGCTTTTCTACAATGCCAGATGTTTTGACCACAACAACAACAGCAATAATGTTTTTTATTTTATGTTTTACATTTTGTATTATTTTATTTATATTTTTATTTAATATTGTTTTAATATATTACTAAAAAAAAAAAAAAAAAAAAAAAAATAAT